ACAATTATCAATTGGTATGGAGTCTTTGAACGAACCTTTGGCTCTACCTAATCAACAAGAATGTAATTTTAATCTAGATAGAACAGAATTTCTTCTATTTCTTTCTTCTCTTTTATATAATCGAGATGACAAGATGGTTCATAATGCACACGAAACACTCTCTAATTTAAATTTAAAGAAAAAGATTCCAACTGATAAAGATTTACAGACTATCTTAAAACTTCTTCATGATAGTGAAAACTCAATAAGAGAACAGATTGATCAATTTGATCTTAAATTTACTTCTATATCTGAGTTGAACCATCTTGGTGGTTGCTACGCTGGCATGTTTTGGTCCGAGGTAATTAATATATTGAATTATTACTATGAGTTAAAAATTTTTTATATCATTAAATAAAAACTAACGATTTATAATTTTATATAACTTTTAGAAAGATAACTTTATTGTTGTGGCATTTCGAGGAACTACTACAACTAGTTTTGCTCAAATGTTAACTGACATAAGTTTTCAACGTATGGATGCAAGACGATACCTTTTTGGTAAAGTTCACGAAGGTTATTATAAATCACTTTTTGAAACTAATAATTCAAAACATTGTGCCGCAATAAGAATGGCAAATACTATTCGAATTAAAGTTGCAGAAATTAATCAAAAGAATAATTTACCAGTAAATTTATGGATTACAGGACATTCTATAGGTGGTGCATTTGCTACATTATTTTATTCTTGGTTAATGAAATCACCTACAAATTTAGATGAAAATTGTATTTTACGTGATGCTTTCACTTTCGCAAGTCCTGCTTGTGTTGATAATGAATTCGCTACACAATTTTCTTTATTATCTAATGATCCTTTAAATTATGGTAAAAATTTATGGAGAATTATTACAGATAATGATATAATTCCTAGAATACCTCCTACATTTGATAATCAACTCTTAAGACGTTTTACAAGAAGAATTAATGTTTTAAATAATTCTCATATTGGAAATGAAGTTCGATTTTTCCATGATGGTAGAAAACCTATATCAAAACAACAACATTTATTCAGAAATAATGAATTATTAAAACATGGATTAAAATTAAATGAATTTAATACTATAATGGAAATTAGTGATTCTTTAAATCTTCAAAATCTTATTTCAAGACCACAAAGAAGATTAGAATTTGTTGAAAAATCTATTCCTGATTGTTTCTTAAATCATAAATCTTATAGATATTTTGAGGTATTGGAAAAATCTAGGCGATATTTTGATTTATATAATCAATAAAATTTCTTTAAATAATATGAACAATGGGATTATGATAAAAAAAATATATTGATAAGTTAGCTAGTTGTGAAATATATATATTTTTTTATTTATCATGTTTATAACTACTGTGTATATATATGTTTTTTAAATTGTCACTAGTATTGATATTTATATTTATAAATAACATTGTAAATAAAAAAAATTTGTGAAGTGTTTAAAGTATTGAAGAACTGATTATATATGTGTAAATTTAGGATTTTATTAGCTTTACCAAACCTATTATATCATCCAACATAATTGAATAGTACTTCTAATCAATCGGATTCGATACTCAACAATTAGTGTCTCATATCAATTTAAGCCAGTCGTTGAAAAACAAAGAAATACTTATTCCTTAAACTGTTTCTTGTACAAATTTGCACTGAAATTTTTTAAAAATTATTTTATTTTTAAAATAAAATTTTAAATATTAATTTTCATTATATTTTTTAAGGGAATATTCTTATAGTGCTATAGCACCATGGCGCTACTCTATATGTAATTATAAGATCAGGTGTAACCTAAAATCAAAACAATCTATTTTATTTATTACTTTAGAGTCAGAGTCATAGTTAGGCTAGAGTTAGGGTTAGGGCGATAGCGTAAAGAGGTTTTATACCAAAATTTAGCAAGGAATTTTTTTAATTAGAATACCAAAAGTAGTTTTATATACAAAATTTTAAGTTATTTTCTGTTTTTAAAAATTGCATC